TTGGAAACGGAAGTAATTCGAGTTTCATGTTTCAGGTTCCCAAAGGTTTCAGAACCCGTTCGCGCCAGTAAATAAGTGAGCTTAAATATTTCGTTATCGATAAACCATGATCGGACACAGCGTTTATTTTTAATTAACAGATATGTGAACATTTTAATGAAGTTCACGTGCAGTTGGACAACTTTTATAAGGTGTGCTTTAAAAGTTTTTAATAAGAGTGCTGCGCTGGGGCTTTATAAAACCAAGCTCCAATAAAAAAATTAATAACAAAAAAAGTGTAATTAAAATTTTCTCGTTATATACGTGTTGCGGTGCGTCTTCCCCATTAACCGTTAAAAAGCAATCTTTTCTTCGAGGTTGCAGCATACTACTTTTGGACAATAACATCGAGTTCACGGGACACGACCTTTTCGGAAATTAATACGCTCGCCTCGACAAGCCGGGCATTAAAACCTAATAACCAATATTATCGAATTAATAAAAAAAATCTCGTTGTAAGTGGGGTATAATAAGTATAGCTTTGCGAGAAGCTGATGACTATAATTTTCGGTCTTATCGTCCTCAGCACATTTTTAGATATAAGCATACCCGCCCATTTGCTCGATTATCTATTCATATCTTATTTTTGGTGCAGTAATGTGTCGATCTTTTAATACTTTGTGGCATGTTTTTGGAAGCTAAACACCGAGAGATATCATCTTATGTGGGTGTAAGGACGACTTCATGTGAGATTTCACTAAGTACTGTAATAAACGTTACAGCCGTCGTTGATAATACATTTATATTAACTAAACAAAATTACCGATACCCAGGTATTTCCATATACCTATATAATTTGTTTTTCTTTGCAAAAAATAACATATTACGCAACGCAGACGTTTCTATTTAATAATTTTTCCCGTATAATTAGAAAATAATTGCCATAAGAAGTAAATGGTATCAGATTAGATTATTACAGATAAAAGAAGTTTGTGTGTAATTAATTAGAGCGTGTTCAAGACGTTTATTGATAAATTGCCAGTCGGAAGAATTAAATTTATAATGTTGCCTTATGCTTTAGAGCACAAAAAAAAAATAAAGTTTTGTATTCTTCAGATCTATTCCGAATAATATGTCAACCGAATCAAAACATCCAATAATTAATACGCCCAAAAGGCAATCTTTTTTTCAGGTATCCACTGAAATTCAACGCCTGTGAGAAACGTCCCAAAAAACTTCCCAAACTTCAGGTCGTTTTACGACCGTTCGGACTCCATAAAAATAAAATACATTTTAAAACTCTTTTAAAATTTATTAAATCAATAGCGAACGGCTCTCTCGCTCCAACCAACCAACCAGCCGTCAACTTGACTTCTTGGCTTCTAACAAGCTTGAATTTATATTCGGTAGTTTTATTATTTATAACTTTTGCCTTGGTCTTAAAACCGTCCCAACTTTTCTTGGAATTGAAATCGTCGAGGAATGCAGAGAATTTAAAAGTCAAAAGACTGGCCGGTAAATTATCCGAAAAAGTACCCACAACATATTCCAAACTAAACGACCAGAAATATTTAAAGTTAAATGCAAATTTAATTGGTCGAGTAGAAACTTTTAGTTTCAGAACACGAATAATTAGAATTTATTGGCGGAACTATTGCAATAATTCTGAAACTCTGTTGCCTACAGTTATGGGTTTTTTCAAAAGTTCCCTTATTAAAAACAACTCATAGTCAAGTATAGGTACCTACTCTACAAAAGTATGTGTCATATAATTTTAAATCTAATTGTTAGTCACTCGAGACTAATAACTAACCAAAGTACAGGTACCTACACTTAAAATATTTACAAATTGTTTAAATTTAAAATATTTATATTTTAATAAATTATAATAATAAATACGTGATACGCGTATGCATTACATAGTTGTACATAATAAAGTTGTTTTAAAATCAAAATTGCATGTTTCTTCACCATTATATGATAATTGCAAAAATAATAGCGGCTTTGGACTAATAAAACGCTTAGAATTGCCATCGCGTTGATAGATAATTGCTTATAGATAATAAACAGGATCGAATCTAGTGGATATTTTTGATTCAGTTCGTATGTGCCGATTCTCAATTTTCCATTCATTTTTTTCATCTTACTGCAACAAAATGAAAAACAAAAATCTGCGGAACCAGTAATCTACTATTAAATTCTATGAAGATGGGAATTTTGAAGAATGAAGAAATTTTCCTAGGCATAATTCATACTGCAATTATTGATGATGGTTCTATTTTTTTTGTGCACGGTATATAATTAGTAACCCTATTACTCAGTACCTTATATTAGTTTACTTCAAAGAGGCATTCCACTTATTCCATAGATCTCTTTTAATGTAGTTTTATTCCAAAGCTTTTATGTCTCTATGGAATATAGAGCAAAAATAAATAGTGTTTTTAGAGAATTGAATAGAGCGCATGGTGCTCCGAACGATAACATAATTCCCAGGATAATACCCTTCAATAATTTGTTCACTTCAAAGAGGTATTCCACTTTTTTAATGTAGTTTTATTCCAAAGTGTTCATGTCTCTATGGAATATAGAGCAAAAATAAATAGTGTTTTTAGAGAACTTAATAGAGCGCATGGTGCTCCGAACAATAAACATAATTCCCAGGATAATACCCTTTAATAATTTGTTAATTAAATTCTATGTAGAGAGGCATGATGGGTCACCTCTATCCGACGGTTAATTTTCTGAAGAGATAAACATAATTTTATAATTTGTATGTATATACTAACCCAAAGTAAATTAATAATATTTAATAAATTAATTAATTGCAATAAATGCGAGTCTTTTTTTACCGAAAAAAGCCACACAAAACAACATATAAATATTAAACTTAATGTCGTTTTGTACGTTTATAATTTAATGCAATTAAAATCATTGAATTGTCAATTTCAATCTGCCAAAGGGAAAAAACTTTAAAATATTACCATAAAATAAAGGTAACTAATTACGTCGATTTTTAATTATGACATGTTAAAAAAGTAAAAATAAGAAATATTTTTAAAGTGTAATTAGGGCTGAGAGTTTTATAATAAATAATAAGGATCGAGCGGAAATTCGAGTTTTTGCAGGTTCTTAATATGGCATGGATCATACTGGTATATTATTTTTGATGATCAATTAATGAAAAATATGCAGGTATGTGACTAGAGAGAAAGATTTAGTGAATTTTGCATTGTGAGTTTTGGGTTTTCAATAATTATGCATGATTAGATTCACTTAGATAGGTACATCTTTTTCTCGAAATGTTAAGTGAAAATACTATTTTAAAATAATTTTGCAACTTCTGTTTTAGTATTACATTTGAAAGACCTTTGTTTATGTGAAAATTAATTTTTATATATAATGATAATTGACTAAGTATGCCGACCGCCGGACAGACAAACGAAAACTTTCATAAAAGTTACGTTTTTCTATAACGTTTCATTTTAATTAATTTTTTTTCCCACTCATACGTATTGTACATGTTTTGCATATTTTCCTATATTGAATTCCCAATGGTACTATATTTAATTACTAGTTTTATGAAACATAAAATACATAGGTAGGTATATCGTGTCTTCTTTATTTAGACTCACTAATTTTATGGTCACGAGATCGTGTGTCTTTTTCGATGCAATTTGACTGACAGGAGCAACCTCCTATTGAACATAATACAAAAACAAAAATCGAAAAGAAATTAAGCAGATTTGGAAAAATTCCCTCGAAAGCTCACCTAGACCTTCTCAAAAAGTCGTGCCTACTGAAATTTCTGCCGAAAAACGCAACGACTCTTAATTATATCGTATGATTATTTTCTTAAACTCATTTGTCATGTCTACAGTAATAGATTTTTATAATCTAATCTAACAATCCAATTGCCGAGATTTCAGTTAATATAAATTTTTATTTAATGATGAGGCCTAGTGTTACTGGGATAGCTATCTAATGTGGATAGAGCTGTGTGTGCTTGCGAAAACATTGCTTTGAAAAAATCGCAAAACTTTGAGCTTTTCTAAAGGACATTTTGGAAATATTCTTCTATCTATCTACATCAAGAAAAACATCCACAATAATAGCTAAAACTAGTGCTAATCTCGTTTAGAAAATACTAGCTTAGAATATGGAAATATTTACGTTTTTCCCCGCCAGTCGCCATATTGAAAGTTCTTGACTCATTTATGGAACCAATACCCCCTTTGACTACCCATCAAAAAGACAACATTGGGCATTTAAATCCGATACGTCCTTATCAACATTTAGAAATTTGCCGCGTTGAACAAAAATTTCAGGTTTTTGAGTGTGCGATTTAAAACAGCCCCTATGAGGTTTATTAAAATGAAAATGTGACCAACTAAATCTAAAATCGGTTTCGGGATGTAGTGTTCATAGGTTCATCTAACGAGCTCACAAACCTTTAGTTGGTTGAAATTTTTACAGTCTGCGCATTAGACCTATTTATCCATCTTAATTTTTTATTATGCGCAGCCTGAAGTTTTTACATTATTTTCCGCATGGGATATATATGTATTTGATTTATGTATGATCCTATATCTAGATAACATACGACTGATGAATAGTTAGGTTAGAATGTTGTTTGTTTTTTGGTGAAGTCAAAATCCTCCATGTGTAATTAAAAAGCTTTATCTATCATAATCGTTCGGATTCTTCTTTAATTACCTATAAGTATACCTAGGTGTTAATTCCAATGCGAAATTTTACAATTTTTGTGACTTTGAGTAGATTCCTATATTTTTCCAAAATTTTCAAAACATTATATTTAGGTACCGTATTTATGCTTTTTCTAGATAATTAAATTCCTTATCAGGAGAAAATCGGTTTAATAACACCCGATTGAATGAATCTGTGTGTGCCTGAGATTTTCCACGGCAAAATCGAAAATACTGAGTACATCCGACTGCCGTAGATTCAGCTTGGGCGGTTTACAACCGCATTTTCTAAAACTATCCAGTAGTGTATTGACTTACCATGACTGGCCACACTTCCATACGGTGCATGCATACTTTGGTGATAGTACCTCGCCCGTTGCGATCCACTCGGATCCAGGAAGAAAGCTCCCATGTGTTCGGCAACACTCGAATTAATGTCCGACGAATTGCCCGAACTTTCTAAACTTCCCTGGTGCGCGGGGCTGGCCGAAGTACCAGTCCTAGGACTTTCGTACCACTTCCCTACCGCGTACTCGTTGGTCATCTCCATAATCATGGGGTACCAGTTTTATTCACGAACACTTACACACCCGAAAACTTGTGAATATACACGACAAACCAGCACGCTTGAGTCAGAGAAAAACTATTGGATTCTCATAGTTTTTCTTTTTTGTTATTTTTTTTTTCAGTGGACGATGAGAATGGGGTAGTACCAATAATAAGCAGCCTTATCTAAATCTGAAACAAAATTGAAAAAAAAAATTAGTTTTGTTTGTTCAAATTGAAATTATTTCTTATATTGTAACCTTATCATTTTTAGGTACTTGAAAAGGCAATAGCAAGTATTGATTTATCTTTTTTTATCAGGCAAGTACCTTGAAACGCTTTCAACAGTCATCCTCTCATAGATAAATTAATGTATGTTTATAGGTATTTTTTTCGTAAAAGTACCTATGGTTTAAATGACTACAAAATTTACTTAAATAATTTCCTAGAAAATACAAAAATCTTTGAAATTTTGGAAATTACAAGAAAAACTTCATAACTTCAGTTCCCACGTTTTGAAATATTCAATTAGCAGTAAGCAATCCTTCTATTAAAAAAACATTATTTGTAAGATTTATTTCCATATTTTTATTCGAATCAGTTTGTTTACATTGAAAAAGGCATAATCTATAGAACTCAGGTATTGTCAATCAAATGTGTATCATAGCTTTTTGAAGATTGACATTAGATAGGTACGTATATTTTGCGCACCCTATATAATTCTTCTATATGGCAACCAATAAAAACAGTTTATTTGAATTTGCAGTAGGGACCTAACTACTATTTCAAGAGGTTTATAAACAAGATCAACCTTTCTCTGTGAAGACATTAACAGCCACACAGAAAAGTAACACGTTTGTTGAAATACGTTTTTAGCGATAACAAAATAAAACATTTAATTTTTTGAGGGAAATTTGCTAAAAAAAAAATGTTTTATTTTTGAAATTTTAACGTATCTGCCAAAAAAGATTTTTTCTAAATATTTGTCGGATTGGTCCATTTCCATCATTCTCCAAAGACAAATTTTGTTTATTTTGGGCTCACACATAAACTACATCAAATGAAACACACACATAAAACTACTTGCTGGATCTAACCCAAACTAACTCAAATTTTAATAAATTTTTGGGATTTCAACAGCTGATGAAGAATGTTATCATGATGTATCTAAAAGTTTTCCTATATAAGTAAAACCTGTATAGGTAGGTATCTTCACTTAATTTAAGTTTGTACCTAATAATTTATTATAGTGGATATGTGTTTCTTGAACTTTTCTTGCATCAGAGCTTTTTCGGAAAGTTTCTATTATGCACTATTTTCATACTTAGATATATTTATGTAGGTATTAGTAACTCAAGACTCAAGATTGATAATGTATTTCAAATGATTACTACTTATTAGTTTCTAACTAGGTAAGTATACTTACATTGCAATTCCTAGGTATAAAGTTCAAAAAGGAGATCACAAAAAGAACTAATCACATAATAGAGTTAATTGATCAATACAACTAGGTAATACAGGTGATGAGTCCATCCGTCCAAAATCACAACACACAAAATTGTTTAAACAATCACCGAATATGTCATTGTCAAATAGCACAAAAACCAGAGCAAATGCGTTATAGATACTGCACCAACGAGCAGCCCGAAAGCACTAAGTATTGGTAGAGCAGCTTTCAACCGTATCCCTTGGCAACGAGCTTTCGTTCGGAGTCGCCTGGGATCGTGCACTGTCGGTAATTGATTGGTGAGCTTTCAGGAACAAGGAGTGGCTACTTGAACAGAGGCGGAGCTTGCAAACTTGAAAGACGTTTCAATTTCATATAACCTCTACGTAAAGGCAAGGCAAGAAAAGTAGGTATATGAAAATTTAGTCGTCAAAAGTTTTGAGAACTAGGCAAACACTTTGAGGATCGTCTGATGATGATTTGCTTGGAGCATCAGCTAAAACTGGATAACTTCATATATGGAATATTATTTAAAGCAGGGAAGTTCTTTTTGTTCGCGCGAGGCGTTTTAAGTTTAATGCTGTAGAAGAGCGGCGTCGCTACCGTATTCAGCTGCGGAAAATCAGACAACTGTCGTTCCAGAGGTCTTCGTCTTCGATCTAAACTTAGTTGGAAGGTGGGAGATCGTCCAATAAGATAAGGTTTTCTAACAAAACACTACTATTTGACAAAATGGCGACCACAAATCACGACGCCACGCCCACCGACGATTGTCTGCCCCTTTTTCATGTAGATGACTGGGTATTGGCTCTCTTTTTGATTCTTTCTCCTTTTAAACTGGGAGTTAAGCCGATCTGCCTTGTTATTCTTTTGTTTGCTATCACTTGTCTGTGAAATATTGAGCGCTTGTAAGTAATTCTGGGTATTCGGCTATGTATTGTTTGTCCTCTGGTAGAATGGAATGTTTTACATGCAGATTTTTTTTTTCGGATGCAGATTGCAGTTGTTAGTTGTATCTGTGTAATGTGTATTAGCCTTTAGTATTAGTACCTACGTAAGTCTATGTGTCAGACGTCATGTCAAAAAGACTAATGTCATATGATCGACACACGATATCAATATAATAAATGGATGTTTCCTAAAAAAAATAATACTTTCATTTCAAATATCAATATCCAAGTTTACAATCCAATTGGAAAGGTATCATAACTGGCTTACAGAAATATGATTATTGATTTTTTCTAATATAAGTGGAGTTCGGTTAATCCCCAGCGAGCAAAAAGATCGCAGGCCCACGTGATCAGTTTTGAAACTTCAAATCGAAGATCACATGAGCTTCTGCCAACAGTGTCATTTTTTAGCTTGTGGAGGATAAACCGAACTTGTTTATAATATCGAGTTTCCGTTTTCCCTAAAATAACCTTGACTATCACTACCTACTAACAACAGAATATAGAAAATCAATACATAATCAATCAATAATACATTACAACTGTGACTTCTAATGCCTGAGAAAAATTTACACTCACTGTGACAAATTATCACCGTCTTAAGAAAGATGCATATTGTTGGAGACAACATAATCCAATAAAACAATCATTTTAACTTGGCAACATTGTATTTCATATTTTCAATAATGTTGCTGCTATTTATAGGCAACCTTAGAAAGAGGTATCATATATGTCATACTACCTTCGTCGGAAAGAAGAAGGAGGCACAACTCTCAGGTGTTTTGGTCCGCATTATTTAGATACAAAGTGTTATCACATCAAATACTTAATATGTGCCCAAACGAGGAGTGTAGGTAAATACTTACCTAGTGTGCCTAAATGAATGTACAGATGTAAATATAGAAAAATGTGCTTATTTATCTCAGCAGCGATCGAAGCATGCGCGATGGAAATCGCACACATAACTTAAATTGTCAAACAAAATTACAAATTCAATTTATGTCAGGTCAGACTTTTGACAATAATCATATTAAGAAAATGGTGGTATTTTATAAAGGTTAAATTTTCAATTGATCTTTAATTCACATCTGATTCAAGAAGGAATCCAAGTGTGGCTAAAAGCTGTTGAGCATAGAGCAACACATCATTTGTCTTTATCCAATAAAATTAATGATTTAGTTACTCTCTTTAATTTAACGAGATTTGAAAAAGCTGAAGGCATTCCAAATAATTGGATGATTATTGTCAGAAGCATCTTGGCATATATGTCTGATTTGTTAAAGTCCCAGTGATTGTGTTCTTTGATACATCCTTTCTGTAATAGCCTACGTAACTTCACCAATATAGAATTTATCACATTGATTACATAAAAGTTTATAAATGACGTTTTTGTTATCTACGCTCGAACATTATTATTCATTCACTTTGTGAGGTTATGTTTATGCCAGCTGTTTGGGAAAAAGCCTCTAGATTTTCTATAATTTTTGTGAGAAATTAGTCGTTTTCAATGTTTTAAAGTACTTACCTAATTGATGATGATTGATGATGAATTGTGATATATTAGTGGATTGATACATACTGGATGTAGGTACCTACCGGAGAAATAATGGCACTTTCGTCACCAGGCAACACGGACGGTGAAGAAGAATTCTTGGAGGCTAGCGAGGAAGTCACCACTTGTAAGAAATGTGAAAATACAGTTAGAAATAATAACATATCAATATTCTGTGAAGGCCGCTGCCAGTCATGGTTTCATGCAGCCTGTTTTAAAATAACAAAAAAACAAATTACCTAATCAGATCGATAAATTGAAGGATGTAATAGTTTGGATATGTAATGGGTGCAAAAAGTCACTCAAAAATATGTGGAAGGTGAATGCAAGCAAGAGCAATTCACTGGAAAAACTGAAAAATATATAGAAGACAAATTGGATACTCTTGGATAAATAATTTCAGTTATGCTAATTATGCTGGTATAGTAACACAAAGTATGAATCAAGCAAAGAAAAAAATCGAACATATTTCCCACGAAAAAACTCTAATATTGAAACCAAGAAAACAACAAACTGGCATAAGTATGAGAGATATCAAGCAGGGAATTAATCCAAATTTAGCTGGCGCATCTGTGAAATTTTTAAAGGCTACAGCACAGGGTAGTGTGATAATAAAGGGTGACAATCCGAGTAATTTACAGAAATTCACAAATTATGCACAAGATAAACAGAAAAATCACTACCGTATTGGAGTTTAAGGTCAACATAATCCTAGACTAAGAATAAGTGGGTTGGCAAAAGAATATAAGGATGCATGCTGATTTAAAAATGCTCAATTCTAATTTAATTAATGACGAAGGCAAGATAACAATCATGCACACAAGGCAATCGAGAGAAAAAAAGAAGATGGGCAATTTACATTGAAACATCAGGGATAACTTTTAAAAAGTTGGTGAACGCAAGACTGGATATGGGATGGAACTATTGCAATGTATGAAGACCTGTATATTATTGAATGCTTTACAACTGTGGAGCTTTTGGCCACAAATCAGCTGATTGTAACAAGAATAAATGTTGCACCCATTGTGCTGGACCACATGACAGATTTCAATGTACAAAGCAAGAAAAACAGTATGTCAACTGTTTGTATGAAAGAAATAATTATGACCCGTTAACATCTTGCAACCACGATAGGGAAAATGAACAAGAATGTCCTATCCTGGCCAGAAAATGTTAAATAGCTAGAGAAAAAATTAATTACAATGTTATAATTTAGTCTTAAGTAAGCTGTATATATTTATTTCTTTAAAGATATATGGATGAATGTGTGATTGAAGATCTGATAGAGGACATGGTTGATTCAAGTTGGTCATTACTCATTACAATGGGGCAGGTATTAATAAAAATTATGGTGTTTTTATATTTGTTGGTTCCACATTAAATCACGCTATAAAAAACATAAAACTATCACATACAGGTGTTAGAGTGAGTGAGATCTGTTTTACAATAAACAATGTCTCTTTTACAGTAAATGTTTTGTATAGACCCCCTTGCACTAATGTCAATCTGTTTCTGCAGGACTTTGCTTTTTTCTAAATAACTGGATATCACAGATTGAAATTTTGATGGGTGACATAAATATAAATATAAATGATAACTCATGTCTTCCTGTGGAGAATTTGGCTACCTATTTTAAATCAACATGGATTTAAATCATACGCATATTGATCAAGCAACTGGGGATTATAATGTTGGCCAGAATGGTTTGGATCATATATTTTTGAGAAAAAATCTAACAAAAAGTACCTAACTGGGGAACCCAGTCATTTGCTATACATTCCTAGATCATAGATCATTAGCCCACTATGCTTAACATAATATGTGAAAATAAAAATTTTAACACAAAACAAAAGTTCATAATAACCAGAAAAATGCTATTTCTTTCATTAACTATGACATACTGGAAAGTAAATTGGTTAGGGAAGATTGGGAAATAATAAAATGTAATGTCCGAAAAATTAAACCTTGGATTACAGGGGGAATTATATCATCAATTAAACACAGGGATATACGTTAAAGAAAAAATTATTGAAAAACTAGTAACTGATGCAGCTTACTGAGCACATATCTACAATAAAAAATAATAGTTCACCTGGAATTGATGGTAACCCATCCACCAAAACATATTATAAATCATATTTTTGAAAGTGGAACTGTTCCATCATATTTTAAAACCTCTATAGTGACTCCAATTTTCAAATCGGGTAACAAAAATGTAATTACTAACTATAGATCAATAGGTTTGATTAATAATTTTAGCAAAATTTTGGAAAAGACTATAAAGGGACTTGTAACTTTTTTCAAGGATAATAACATCCTCTCAGAAAGACAATTTGCGATTTTATTGAAAATGTGAGCACTGATCATGCAATATGTATGACTTGAGTTATAAAATAACTACTAATTTAAACGTTTGAAGGAAAACGATTGCGGTGTTTTTGGATTTGGCAAAGGCTTTTAATACGGTGCCCGGTGCCGCATGATGCCCTTTTGGGGATTCTCCAATTATGGAGCTCGTGGCTCTGTTTTGGATGTCCTTGCATCTTATCTAAATGATAGGTTACAGGCTGTAAGGCTGAATGGTACAGTCAGTGATTCCAATCGTATTAAGATTGGGATACCTCATGGAACAGAGTTCTTGGACCTATTCTTTTTATTGTTTACATGAATCTTCTTCTTAAAGAGATTTATAGGAGGGGTACAATACTATCTTATGCAGATGATGCTATC